AATCTCTTCTCCCATTCTACATCTCTTCTCCCATTCTACATCTGTTCTCCCATTCTACATCTGTTCTCCCATTCTACATCTCTTCTCCCATTCTACATCTCTTCTCCCATTCTACATCTCTTCTCCCATTCTACATCTCTTCTCCCATTCTACATCTCTTCTCCCATTCTACATCTCTTCTCCCATTCTACATCTGTTCTCCCATTCTACATCTGTTCTCCCATTCTACATCTGTTCTCCCATTCTACATCTCTTCTCCCATTCTACATCTCTTCTCCCATTCTACATCTGTTCTCCCATTCTACATCTGTTCTCCCATTCTACATCTCTTCTCCCATTCTACATCTCTTCTCCCATTCTACATCTGTTCTCCCATTCTACATCTGTTCTCCCATTCTACATCTCTTCTCCCATTCTACAGGGGTTTTCAGGTTTTTCCTCCACTGGAAGCTCATTAAACCAAGAAAAGGTTGGAGGGAGCTGAACTGTGGGACCAGTGGCTGTGGTTGGATCCCAGCATGGACCATGAATGCTTTAACTAACCAATGACTAAGTTAGCTGCATCTATAGGCTTGAACGTCGCTGTGGACCAATGCTGGTCCCATTAGCAACACCAGGTCCACCAGTGGAAGGGGACGGCTCAGCCGTTGTTTGAACAAAGTTTTAGAACAAAGTCATAAATCAGTAAAAACATTTCTATGTAACCATTAAAATAAATCAGATCTATTATGTACTGTTCTAGACGGCGCTGCTGATTCCTTTTAGTGCGTCTGTTGGTTTAAACTCTCCTGGTTTAAGTCTGATGAAGAGGAGGCTCCATAATCTTCCTCAATCTGTGGGATTTTTTAGTAACTGGAGGTTAAAATAATGACGATGGATTAGAAGATAAACGCCATAGCAGAAGGTGAAGGTAAAGCTGCGTTCAGACCGGCGCAGCGACTGCGGTGGATTCACAGAATCCCAGTTCAAACCGAGCGGTGAGAGCGTCCACTGCCCCTCCCCCACCTGCTGCTCCTAGATGGAGCATGGAGAGAGAGGAGCGGTGATCCCTGAAGATGAAACCTGCTGAACTTTTCTGTAAAATTGGGACCTAGCAGCCAATCAGGGACCGGAGAAGCTTTTTCACTTCACATGGAGGAAATAACGTTAAAGGTGGAAATAAGGGATGCTCTGCAGAGGACTTTAGGCGGTCTTTAATCCTAGAAGGACCGTTGATCATCCGCCCTCACCTCCAGCATGGAGCCCGGTCTGCCTCCGCCCACTGCCCAGGATCTGGGCTTTCTGAGGGGGGAGATTTACCAGGAAGTCCTGCTGAATCAGAGCTGCTCTGCATGAACCAAAGTGGATGTTTTGTTCTCCCCCGGTGGGGTTTAAAGGTTGTTCGTAGGGAAGCAGCAGTCTGTGATGCTCAGTAAAATGCGGTGAACTCCCTGTGGGACTCAGAAATCACCAAGGTAACCGCAGTGAGTCTGAATTCACCTTAACAGGTGAGGTTTGAGCATCTCTGCAGAACCACGAGGCAGAGAGACTAACATGGATGACTAGAAGCAAAGCAGAGGCTCACAGAAGCTTTAAGATATTAAACATCAACCATCCAGCTTCACTCGTTTCACCAGCAAACTCACCGTAGACCTTTCCAAGGAAGATGCTTTTCACCAGGTGGAAGCGTGCGTCAGAAGCCTCTGGGAGGGTGAATGTGGACATGGGGTAGTGATCCAGCTGGAAGCAACAATCAGACAAAAGGAAAAGATCATTCAAAGTTTAAAGGCAGAAGATAAAAACTTTGTGATCTCCTGATTTCTAAATCAATCAATTGATTTAATCAAAGGAAAGTCAATTCAGTTCAGAGGCTAAACTTTGACCTCTGACCTCCGGCTAACCGGAGTTCAGGGTCGGGGAGGAGGTCCTACCCCAAGATGACTTTAACGATCTACCGGTCTTTTCCACAAATAAGGGAAAGAAGGGAGAGCCAGAGGAGACTAAGGGGGAGACCCAGAGGAGACCCAGAGGAGACCCAGAGGAGACCCAGAGGGAGACCCAGAGGAGACCCAGAGGAGACCCAGAGGAGACCCAGAGGGAGACCCAGAGGGAGACCCAGAGGAGACCCAGAGGAGACCCATAGGAGACCCAGAGGGAGACCCAGAGGAGACCCAGAGGAGACCCAGAGGGAGACCCAGAGGAGACCCAGAGGAGACCCAGAGGGAGACCCAGAGGGAGACCCAGAGGAGACCCAGAGGGAGACCCAGAGGAGACCCAGAGGGAGACCCAGAGGAGACCCAGAGGAGACCCATAGGAGACCCAGAGGGAGACCCAGAGGAGACCCAGAGGAGACCCAGAGGGAAACCCAGAGGGAGACCCAGAGGAGACCCAGAGGGAGACCCAGAGGAGACCCAGAGGGAGACCCAGAGGAGACCCAGAGGGAGACCCAGAGGAGACCCAGAGGGAGACCCAGAGGAGACCCAGAGGGAGACCCAAAGGAGACCCAGAGGAGACCCAGAGGAGACCCAGAGGGAGACCCAGAGGAGACCCAGAGGAGACCCAGAGGAGACCCAGAGGAGACCCAGAGGGAGACCCAGAGGAGACCCAGAGGAGACCCAGAGGGAGACCCAGAGGAGACCCAGAGGAGACCCAGAGGGAGACCCAGAGGAGACCCAGAGGGAGACCCAGAGGAGACCCAGAGGAGACCCAGAGGGAGACCCAGAGGAGACCCAGAGGAGACTAAGGGGGATACCCAGAGGGAGAACCAGAGGGAGACCAAGATGAGACCCAGAGGAGACCCAGATGAGACCCAGAGGAGACTAAGGGGGAGACCCAGAGGAAGACCCAGAGGGAGACACAGAGGACATCCAGAGGGAGAACCAGAGGAGACCCAGAGGAGACCCAGAGAGAACCCAGAGGGAGAACCAGAGGAGACCCAGAGGGAACCCAGAGGAGACCCAGAGGAGACCCAGAGCGAGACCCAGAGGGAGACCCAGAGGAGACCCAGAGGAGACCCAGAGGGAGACCCAGAGGGAGACCCAGAGGAGACCCAGAGGAGACCCAGAGGGAGACCCAGAGGAGACCCAGAGGAGACCCAGAGGAGACCCAGAGGGAGACCCAGAGGGAGACCCAGAGGGAGACCCAGAGGAGACCCAGAGGAGACCCAGAGGGAGACCCAGAGGAGACCCAGAGGAGACCCAGAGCGAGACCCAGAGGGAGACCCAGAGGAGACCCAGAGGAGACCCAGAGGGAGACCCAGAGGAGACCCAGAGGAGACCCAGAGGGAGACCCAGAGGAGACCCAGAGGAGACCCAGAGGAGACCCAGAGCGAGACCCAGAGGGAGACCCAGAGGAGACCCAGAGGAGACCCAGAGGAGACCCAGAGCGAGACCCAGAGGGAGACCCAGAGGAGACCCAGAGGGAGACCCAGAGGAGACCCAGAGGAGACCCAGAGGAGACCCAGAGGAGACCCAGAGGAGACCCAGAGGGAGACCCAGAGGAGACCCAGAGGAGACCCAGAGGAGACCCAGAGGAGACCCAGAGGAGACCCAGAGGAGACCCAGAGGAGACCCAGAGGGAGACCCAGAGGAGACCCAGAGGAGACCCAGAGGGAGACCCAGAGGAGACCCAGAGGAGACCCAGAGGAGACCCAGAGGGAGACCCAGAGGGAGACCCAGAGGGAGACCCAGAGGAGACCCAGAGGAGACCCAGAGGGAGACCCAGAGGAGACCCAGAGGAGACCCAGAGGGAGACCCAGAGGAGACCCAGAGGAGACTAAGGGGGAGACCCAGAGGAGACCCAGAGGAGACCCAGAGGAGACCCAGAGGAGACCCAGAGGGAGACCCAGAGGAGACCCAGAGGAGACCCAGAGGGAGACCCAGAGGAGACCCAGAGGAGACCCAGAGGAGACTAAGGGGGAGACCCAGAGGAGACCCAGAGGAGACCCAGAGGAGACCCAGAGGAGACCCAGAGTGAGACCCAGAGGAGACCCAGAGGAGACCCAGAGGAGACCCAGAGGGAGACCCAGAGGAGACCCAGAGGGAGACCCAGAGGAGACCCAGAGGAGACCCAGAGGGAGACCCAGAGGAGACCCAGAGGAGACCCAGAGGGAGACCCAGAGGAGACCCAGAGGAGACCCAGAGGGAGACCCAGAGGGAGACCCAGAGGAGACCCAGAGGAGACCCAGAGGGAGACCCAGAGGAGACCCAGAGGGAGACCCAGAGGAGACCCAGAGGAGACCCAGAGGGAGACCCAGAGGAGAAACAGAGGAGACCCAGAGGAGACCCAGAGGAGACCCAGAGGGAGACCCAGAGGAGACCCAGAGGAGACCCAGAGGGAGACCCAGAGGGAGACCCAGAGGAGACCCAGAGGAGACCCAGAGGGAGACCCAGAGGAGACCCAGAGGAGACCCAGAGGGAGACCCAGAGGAGACCCAGAGGAGACCCAGAGGAGACCCAGAGGGAGACCCAGAGGAGACCCAGAGGAGACCCAGAGGAGACCCAGAGGGAGACCCAGAGGGAGACCCAGAGGAGACCCAGAGGGAGACCCAGAGGAGACCCAGAGGAGACTAAGGGGGATACCCAGAGGGAGACCCAGAGGGAGACCCAGATGAGACCCAGAGGAGACTAAGGGGGAGACCCAGAGGAAGACCCAGAGGAAGACCCAGAGGGAGACCCAGAGGAGACCCAGAGGGAGACCCAGAGGAGACCCAGAGGAGACCCAGAGGGAGACCCAGAGGAGACCCAGAGGGAGACCCAGAGGAGACCCAGAGGAGACCCAGAGCGAGACCCAGAGGGAGACCCAGAGGAGACCCAGAGGAGACCCAGAGGGAGACCCAGAGGAGACCCAAAGGAGACCCAGAGGAGACCCAGAGGAGACCCAGAGGGAGACCCAGAGGAGACCCAGAGGGAGACCCAGAGGAGACCCAGAGGAGACCCAGAGGGAGACCCAGAGGAGACCCAGAGGAGACCCAGAGGAGACCCAGAGCGAGACCCAGAGGGAGACCCAGAGGAGACCCAGAGGAGACCCAGAGGAGACCCAGAGGAGACCCAGAGGGAGACCCAGAGGAGACCCAGAGGAGACCCAGAGCGAGACCCAGAGGGAGACCCAGAGGAGACCCAGAGGGAGACCCAGAGGAGACCCAGAGGAGACTAAGGGGGATACCCAGAGGGAGAACCAGAGGGAGACCCAGATGAGACCCAGAGGAGACCCAGATGAGACCCAGAGGAGACTAAGGGGGAGACCCAGAGGAAGACCCAGAGGGAGACACAGAGGAGACCCAGAGGGAGACCCAGAGAGAACCCAGAGGGAGAACCAGAGGAGACCCAGAGGGTACCAAGAGGGAGAACCAGAGGAGACCCAGAGGAGACCCAGAGAGAACCCAGAGGGAGAACCAGAGGAGACCCAGAGGGAGAACCAGAGGAGACCCAGAGGGAGACCCAGAGGGAGAACCAGAGGAGACCCAGAGGGAGACCCAGAGGAGACCCAGAGGGAGACCCAGAGGGAGACCCAGAGGGAGAACCAGAGGAGACCCAGAGGAGACCCAGAGGGAGACCCAGAGGAGACCCAGAGGAGACCCAGAGGGAGACCCAGAGGAGACCCAGAGGGAGACCCAGAGGAGACCCAGAGGGAGACCCAGAGGAGACCAAGAGGAGACCCAGAGGGAGACCCAGAGGAGACCCAGAGGAGACCCAGAGGGAGACCCAGAGGAGACCCAGAGGGAGACCCAGAGGAGACCCAGAGGAGACTAAGGGGGATACCCAGAGGGAGAACCAGAGGGAGACCCAGATGAGACCCAGAGGAGACTAAGGGGGAGACCCAGAGGAAGACCCAGAGGGAGACACAGAGGACATCCAGAGGGAGAACCAGAGGAGACCCAGAGGAGACCCAGAGAGAACCCAGAGGGAGAACCAGAGGAGACCCAGAGGGAACCCAGAGGGAGAACCAGAGGAGACCCAGAGGGAGACCCAGAGGGAGAACCAGAGGAGACCCAGAGGGAGACCCAGAGGAGACCCAGAGGGAGACCCAGAGGGAGAACCAGAGGAGACCCAGAGGAGACCCAGAGGAGACCCAGAGGGAGACCCAGAGGACACCCAGAGGGAGACCCAGAGGAGACCCAGAGGGAGACCCAGAGGGAGACCCAGAGGAGACCCAGAGGAGACCCAGAGGGAGACCCAGAGGAGACCCAGAGGGAGACCCAGAGGAGACCCAGAGGGAGACCCAGAGGGAGACCCAGAGGAGACTAAGGGGGAGACCCAGAGGAGACTCAGGGGGAGACCCAGAGGAGACCCAGAGGAAGACCCAGAGGGAGACCCAGAGGGAGACCCAGAGGAGACTAAGGGGGAGACCCAGAGGAGACCCAGAGGGAGACCCAGAGGAGACCCAGAGGAGACCCAGAGGGAGACCCAGAGGAGACCCAGAGGAGACCCAGAGGGAGACCCAGAGGGAGAACCAGAGGAGACCCAGAGGGAGACCCAGAGGAGACCCAGAGGGAGACCCAGAGGAGACCCAGAGGGAGACCCAGAGGAGACCCAGAGGGAGACCCAGAGGAGACCCAGAGGGAGACCCAGAGGAGACCAAGAGGAGACCCAGAGGGAGACCCAGAGGAGACCCAGAGGAGACCCAGAGGGAGACCCAGAGGAGACCCAGAGGGAGACCCAGAGGAGACCCAGAGGGAGACCCAGAGGAGACCCAGAGGAGACTAAGGGGGATACCCAGAGGGAGAACCAGAGGGAGACCCAGATGAGACCCAGATGAGACCCAGAGGAGACTAAGGGGGAGACCCAGAGGAAGACCCAGAGGGAGACACAGAGGACATCCAGAGGGAGAACCAGAGGAGACCCAGAGGAGACCCAGAGAGAACCCAGAGGGAGAACCAGAGGAGACCCAGAGGGAACCCAGAGGGAGAACCAGAGGAGACCCAGAGGGAGACCCAGAGGGAGAACCAGAGGAGACCCAGAGGGAGACCCAGAGGAGACCCAGAGGGAGACCCAGAGGGAGAACCAGAGGAGACCCAGAGGAGACCCAGAGGAGACCCAGAGGGAGACCCAGAGGAGACCCAGAGGGAGACCCAGAGGAGACCCAGAGGGAGACCCAGAGGGAGACCCAGAGGAGACCCAGAGGAGACCCAGAGGGAGACCCAGAGGAGACCCAGAGGGAGACCCAGAGGAGACCCAGAGGAGACCCAGAGGGAGACCCAGAGGGAGAACCAGAGGAGACCCAGAGGGAGACCCAGAGGAGACCCAGAGGGAGACCCAGAGGGAGAACCAGAGGAGACCCAGAGGAGACCCAGAGGAGACCCAGAGGGAGACCCAGAGGAGACCCAGAGGGAGACCCAGAGGAGACCCAGAGGAGACCCAGAGGGAGACCCAGAGGAGACCCAGAGGGAGACCCAGAGGAGACCCAGAGGAGACTAAGGGGGATACCCAGAGGGAGAACCAGAGGGAGACCCAGATGAGACCCAGAGGAGACTAAGGGGGAGACCCAGAGGAAGACCCAGAGGGAGACACAGAGGACATCCAGAGGGAGAACCAGAGGAGACCCAGAGGAGACCCAGAGAGAACCCAGAGGGAGAACCAGAGGAGACCCAGAGGGAACCCAGAGGGAGAACCAGAGGAGACCCAGAGGGAGACCCAGAGGGAGAACCAGAGGAGACCCAGAGGGAGACCCAGAGGAGACCCAGAGGGAGACCCAGAGGGAGAACCAGAGGAGACCCAGAGGAGACCCAGAGGAGACCCAGAGGGAGACCCAGAGGAGACCCAGAGGGAGACCCAGAGGAGACCCAGAGGGAGACCCAGAGGGAGACCCAGAGGAGACCCAGAGGAGACCCAGAGGGAGACCCAGAGGAGACCCAGAGGGAGACCCAGAGGAGACCCAGAGGGAGACCCAGAGGGAGACCCAGAGGAGACTAAGGGGGAGACCCAGAGGAGACTCAGGGGGAGACCCAGAGGAGACCCAGAGGAAGACCCAGAGGGAGACCCAGAGGGAGACCCAGAGGAGACTAAGGGGGAGACCCAGAGGAGACCCAGAGGGAGACCCAGAGGAGACCCAGAGGAGACCCAGAGGGAGACCCAGAGGAGACCCAGAGGAGACCCAGAGGGAGACCCAGAGGGAGAACCAGAGGAGACCCAGAGGGAGACCCAGAGGAGACCCAGAGGGAGACCCAGAGGAGACCCAGAGGGAGACCCAGAGGAGACCCAGAGGGAGACCCAGAGGAGACCCAGAGGGAGACCCAGAGGAGACCAAGAGGAGACCCAGAGGGAGACCCAGAGGAGACCCAGAGGAGACCCAGAGGGAGACCCAGAGGAGACCCAGAGGGAGACCCAGAGGAGACCCAGAGGGAGACCCAGAGGAGACCCAGAGGAGACTAAGGGGGATACCCAGAGGGAGACCCAGAGGAGACCCAGAGGAGAACCAGAGGGAGACCCAGAGGGAGACCCAGAGGAGACCCAGAGGAGACCCAGAGGAGAACCAGAGGAAGACCCAGAGGGAGACCCAGAGGAGACCCAGAGGGAGACCCAGAGGAGACCCAGAGGAGACCCAGAGGGAGACCCAGAGGAGACCCAGAGGGAGACCCAGAGGAGACCCAGAGGGAGACCCAGAGGAGAACCAGAGGGAGACCCAGAGGAGACCCAGAGCGAGACCCAGAGGAGACTAAGGGGGAGACCCAGAGGGAGACCCAGAGGAGACTCAAGGGGAGACCCAGAGAGAGACCCAGAGGGAGACCCAGAGGAGACTCAGGGGGAGACCCAGAGGGAGACCCAGAGGAGACTCAGGGGGAGACCCAGAGGGAGACCCAGAGGAGACTCAGGGGGAGACCCAGAGGGAGACCCAGAGGAGACTCAGGGGGAGACCCAGAGGGAGACCCAGAGGAGACTAAGGGGAAGACCCAGAGGGAGACCAAGAGGAGACTCAGGGGGAGACCCAGAGGAGACTCAGGGGGAGACCAAGAGGAGACTAAGGGGGAGACCCAGAGGAGACTAAGGGGGAGACCCAGAGGAGACTCAGGGGGAGACCCAGAGGGAGACCCAGAGGAGACTCAGGGGGAGACCCAGAGGGAGACCCAGAGGAGACTAAGGGGGAGACCCAGAGGAGACTCAGGGGGAGACCCAGAGGGAGACCCAGAGGAGACTCAGGGGGAGACCCAGAGGAGACTCAGGGGGAGACCCAGAGGAGACTAAGGGGGAGACCCAGAGGAGACTCAGGGGGAGAACCAGAGGACTCAATTGAGGGACTATGTTTCTAGGCTGACCTGCGGACGCTTTCGACTGAATGGAGGCACTAACCTGGAGATGGATCTCCCTCAAGCGTCTGGTAATGTTTACGAAGTGGGGCTGTCCATTGGCCATGTTGCGATGATCAATATCAATGGTGTAAGGTTCTGGTAGTCCGCCGAGGCTGTACCGGACCTGGAGAGAGCCTACACACAGGGACAATGATGACGCCTCAGGGTTTTATAAACTGATTAAAACTGCGTAGTGTTGCCCACCATTGTGTCGCAGCACCACGGCCATGTAGTCCCGAGACCTTGAACTGATGTACACCAGGATGCTGGGAGCGCTGTGCGTGCTAAAGCTGAAGACCAGCTCCTCCTGCGTGAGGTTGGCTTCACCTAAACGACCAACATTTAGGTCCCCCTGTGGGGATGCACCATGATCGGACAGGAAATCGTAACGCACCAGGGTTCCTGCTTCAAAATAGCCTCCAACATCTGCACAAAAAGAGACGGGGGAATCAAACAGGTCTAATTATGGACACACCTGTAGGGAAAGGTAACAGACGGTACCGTCGGTGCAGAAGGGTCCATCGTAGGCAGTGAGAGAGCAATCACAGGAGAATCCGTTATATCGCTCCACACACTTCCCTCCGTTCCTGCATTGCATCCTGTAGCTGCTGCAGTGGCCCTGGCAGCCAGGCTTCACCCCTGGAGTCACCTCAGCCCTGTTCTCCAGGTCCAAGAGGACGCCATTTATCTTCAGAGCCCTCATGCAGCCGAGGAAGCCCCTCTGACCGTTCAGAGCACCTGGTGGCGGCACAGACAAAGGAGTTTGGAGCCGACCAAAGAACAAAGCTTAAAGCAGTTTCATGATGTCATTAAAGTCAAAAATAAGTACTCTGCCCAATTTAGCATGTCGGCTAAATAAAAAAACATTTTTACATAAATTCTGAAATTCCTTTGGTTTTTCTTAATGAACAGCAAATGTACTAAAACACTCTCCTTATATATTTTAGACCTGTTTTACTTCATAGCTTCCAGTGTCGTATAAATGCAAAAGTGTCGAACAAAAAAATAAAAATAAATAACTATTGCGGTTATGCCGTAGGACATTACATCGATTTCGGACATTGCTGACTAGTTTCCAAAGCTCTAGAAGGGTCACAGAACACTCTATAAGACACTCTCACAGAGACGTGGCATCCTGCCCCCACTGCCCTCGGGGGCATCTACCCACAAACATTAAAGCTCTTTATCCGCGGATTCCAGAGAGAGCGGGACGCCACAACATTCCATCCCTCACCCCTGCTTAAGTTCAGTACTCCTTAAAACAGGCGAGCCGAAGACACACAGAGAAAAACAGCCTGACCTAAAGCCAGGCATCCACTGCGCCATACTTTCAATCTTTGAACGCAGCTACAACTCAAACAGTACGACGAAACTGCAGGGTTAAAAGTTCACCGATCATAATGCATGTTCTTACAGCCCGCGGCTCTAATACAATCTAGCTGCTCACACTCTACGTCCAAATACCAACAGTTGGACTCTGCTATTGTTCAAACAATGTCTCAATATGGGTTTAAACACTAATTTTAAATTAATATCTTTGTATTTGTTATATGCTAACTATATTTTAACTGCTAAAATATTTGAAAGCTAGCTAGCTGCTAGCTCCATTGTTTTAATGACCAAATGTCGCTAAACAATGTAAAAGACTTCTAACGCCGGATGTTTACATGGAAACCATCATTTATCATTTATAAATAATTTCAGAAAATATGATTTCATCAAATCCTGCTTTATTTTCCCCCTCGGGTTTTCATTGTGAGCTGGTTTAAACTACGGCTCATCAAACTCAGCTGCTTTAGTAGGGGAAGAAGCAGGAACAAAATCTGCTGGGCCCCAAACTGGCGGCCCCTTGGCTTCCCCAAGGGCCCGATGTGTCAGGGGCCTGCCCTGCCCTAGCCCAACATGCAGGGGAACAGGTTAGACTCACTGCCAGCATAGGGCCGTACTCCTGCCCTGCTTCTACAGGGACCGCATGGCCCCCAGCAAAGGGACCGCATGGCCGCTAGCAAAGTGACCGCATGGTCCCTAGCAAAGGGACAGCATGGCCCGTAGCAAAGGGACAGCATGGCCCCCAGCAAAGGGACAGCATGGCCCCCAGCAAAGGGACCGCATGGCCCCCAGCAAAGGGACAGCATGGCCCCCAGCAAAGGGACCGCATGGCCCGTAGCAAAGGGACCGCATGGCCCCCAGCAAAGAGACAGCATGGCCCCCAGCAAAGGGACCGCATGGCCCCTAGCAAAGGGACAGCATGGCCCCCAGCAAAGGGACCGCATGGCCCCTAGCAAAGGGACAGCATGGCCCCCAGCAAAGGGACAGCATGGCCCCCAGCAAAGAGACAGCATGGCCCCCAGCAAAGGGACCGCATGGCCCCTAGCAAAGGGACAGCATGGCCCCCAGCGAAGGGACAGCATGGCCCCCAGCAAAGAGACATCATGGCCCCCAGCAAAGGGACCACATGGCCCCTTTGCTAGGGGCATGGCCCCCAGCAAAGGGACAGCATGGCCCCCAGCAAAGAGACAGCATGGCCCCCAGCAAAGGGACCGCATGGCCCCTAGCAAAGGGACAGCATGGCCCCCAGCAAAGGGACAGCATGGCCCCTAGGAAAGGGACCGCATGGCCCCCAGCAAAGGGACTGCATGGCCCCCAGCAAAGGGACCGCATGGCCCCCAGCAAAGGGACCGCATGGCCCCCAGCAAAGGGACCGCATGGCCCCTAGCAAAGGGACTGCATGGCCCCCCAGCAAAGGGACCGCATGGCCCCTAGCAAAGGGACCACATGGCCCGTAGCAAAGGGACAGCATGGCCCCCAGCAAAGGGACCGCATGGCCCCTAGCAAAGGGACCGCATGGCCCCTAGAAAAGGGACTGCATGGCCCCCAGCAAATAGACCGCATGGCCCCTCGAAAAGGGACCGCATGGCCCGTAGCAAAGGGACTGCATGGCCCCCAGCAAAGGGACCGCATGGCCCCTAGAAAAGGGACCACATGGCCCGTAGCAAAGGGACCGCATGGCCCCCAGCAAAGGGACCACATGGCCCGTAGCAAAGGGACCGCATGGCCCCGGCAAAGGGACCGCATGGCCCCTAGAAAAGGGACTGCATGGCCCCTAGCAAAGGGACCGCATGGCCCCTAGAAAAGGGACCGCATGGCCCCTAGCAAAGAGACCGCATGGCCCCTATAAAAGGGAATGCATGGCCCCTAGCAAAGGGACCACATGGCCCGTAGCAAAGGGACAGCATGGCCCCCAGCAAATGGGCCGCATGGCCCCTAGAAAAGGGACCGCATGGCCCCTAGCAAAGGGAACGCATGGCCCCCAGCAAAGGGACCGCATGGCCCGTAGCAAAGGGACAGCATGGCCCCTAGAAAAGGGACTGCATGGCCCCTAGCAAAGGGACCACATGGCCCCTAGCAAAGAGACCGCATGGCCCCCAGCAAATGGACCGCATGGCCCCTAGCAAAGGGACCGCATGGCCCCTAGCAAAGGGACCACATGGCCCCTAGCAAAGGGACTGCATGGCCCCTAGCAAAGGGACCACATGGCCCCTAGAAAAGGGACTGCATGGCCCCTAGCAAAGGGACCGCATGGCCCCTAGAAAAGGGACTGCATGGCCCCTAGAAAAGGGACTGCATGGCCCCCAGCAAATAGACCGCATGGCCCCTCGAAAAGGGACCGCATGGCCCGTAGCAAAGGGACTGCATGGCCCCCAGCAAAGGGACCGCATGGCCCCTAGAAAAGGGACCACATGGCCCGTAGCAAAGAGACCGCATGGCCCCCAGCAAAGGGACCACATGGCCCGTAGCAAAGGGACCGCATGGCCCCGGCAAAGGGACCGCATGGCCCCTAGAAAAGGGACTGCATGGCCCCTAGCAAAGGGACCGCATGGCCCCTAGAAAAGGGACCGCATGGCCCCTAGCAAAGAGACCGCATGGCCCCTAGAAAAGGGAATGCATGGCCCCTAGCAAAGGGACCACATGGCCCGTAGCAAAGGGACCGCATGGCCCCCAGCAAATGGGCCGCATGGCCCCTAGAAAAGGGACCGCATGGCCCCTAGCAAAGGGACCGCATGGCCCCCAGCAAAGGGACCGCATGGCCCGTAGCAAAGGGACAGCATGGCCCCTAGAAAAGGGACTGCATGGCCCCTAGCAAAGGGACCACATGGCCCCTAGCAAAGAGACCGCATGGCCCCCAGCAAATGGACCGCATGGCCCCTAGCAAAGGGACCGCATGGCCCCTAGCAAAGGGACCACATGGCCCCTAGCAAAGGGACTGCATGGCCCCTAGCAAAGGGACCACATGGCCCCTAGAAAAGGGACTGCATGGCCCCTAGCAAAGGGACCGCATGGCCCCTAGAAAAGGGACTGCATGGCCCCTAGAAAAGGGACTGCATGGCCCCCAGCAAATAGACCGCATGGCCCCTCGAAAAGGGACCGCATGGCCCGTAGCAAAGGGACTGCATGGCCCCCAGCAAAGGGACCGCATGGCCCCTAGAAAAGGGACCACATGGCCCGTAGCAAAGAGACCGCATGGCCCCCAGCAAAGGGACCACATGGCCCGTAGCAAAGGGACCGCATGGCCCCGGCAAAGGGACCGCATGGCCCCTAGAAAAGGGACTGCATGGCCCCTAGCAAAGGGACCGCATGGCCCCTAGAAAAGGGACCGCATGGCCCCTAGCAAAGAGACCGCATGGCCCCTAGAAAAGGGAATGCATGGCCCCTAGCAAAGGGACCACATGGCCCGTAGCAAAGGGACCGCATGGCCCCCAGCAAATGGGCCGCATGGCCCCTAGAAAAGGGACCGCATGGCCCCTAGCAAAGGGACCGCATGGCCCCCAGCAAAGGGACCGCATGGCCCGTAGCAAAGGGACAGCATGGCCCCTAGAAAAGGGACTGCATGGCCCCTAGCAAAGGGACCACATGGCCCCTAGCAAAGAGACCGCATGGCCCCCAGCAAATGGACCGCATGGCCCCTAGCAAAGGGACCGCATGGCCCCTAGCAAAGGGACCACATGGCCCCTAGCAAAGGGACCACATGGCCCCTAGCAAAGGGACCACATGGCCCCTAGCAAAGGGACTGCATGGCCCCTAGCAAAGGGACCACATGGCCCCTAGAAAAGGGACTGCATGGCCAGTAGCAAAGGGACTGCATGGCCCCTAGCAAAGGGACCACACAGCCCCTAGAAAAGGGACCGCATGGCCCGTAGCAAAGGGACTGCATGGCCCCTAGAAAAGGGACCGCATGGCCCCTAGAAAAGGGACTGCATTGCCCCTAGAAAAGGGACTGCATGGCCCCTAGAAAAAGGACTGCATGGCCCCCAGCAAAGGGACTGCATGGCCCCTAGCAAAGGGACCACATGGCCCCTAGAAAAGGGACCGCATGGCCCGTAGCAAAGGGACCGCATGGCCCCTAGAAAAGGGACCGCATGGCCCCTAGAAAAGGGACTGCATGGCCCCTAGAAAAAGGACTGCATGGCCCCTAGAAAACGGACTGCATGGCCCCTAGAAAAGGGACTGCATGGCCCCTAGAAAAGGGACTGCATGGCCCCTAGAAAAGGGACCGCATGGCCCCTAGAAAAGGGACTGCATGGCCCCCAGCAAAGGGACCGCATGGCCCCTAGAAAAGGGACCGCATGGCCCGTAGCAAAGGGACCGCATGGCCCGTAGCAAAGGGACCGCATGGCCCGTAGCAAAGGGACCACATGGCCCCCAGCAAAGGGACCGCATGGCCCCTAGCAAAGGGACTG